GCTGGGATGCGTGTCTGCATAGCGTTCTACCTGCTCAGGCTTTCTCTGCCACCACTCGTCCTGCATTTCTCGCAGTTCCATCTGTACTTTGGACTGCAGGTGCTGAAACTTGTCTTTCTTTGAGACAGATGATGGATCGCTCTGCCAGTCTGCATAGACCTTGTTCTTGGCTTGGAGGGCTGCTGAAATAGTCTCGTAGTTCTCATCAAACCAGTCTTGACGCACTGGGTTTTCAGTGTGAGTACAATTGTTGCAGAGTGCATGATGACATCTTTAAACTGTGTCCATTTGTACGTCAAGTTAAACATAGAAGTTGTGTATGTGGTCCCCTGCAACCCCCCCCCCCCCAGGATGTTTCTTCTGGCATGGAGGAAACCCCTTTTTCTAAGGCAATGCATGGTTTGGACAGTTGTCGCTTGCTGGTATTTCACACCATTTAAACAATTTTAGTCATCTGTCGCCTTAATCAAGGTTAATTTGATCAGCATGTTCCTAATTGATTCATCTTACCCATCATTGATCTAACTGATTAGTTGACTTAACCAATTTGATTTCACAGCTGAGCTGTAAACTTGATGGTCGGGGTGAAGACAATTAGGGGAGATGGGTTTGGCAGAGAAGAAGGGGGAGGTCATGCAGCAAAGATGCCCAGTCATGGCTGGATCAATGTTTGGAAGGGCTTCCAAGTGGCATCTTCCATGTTCTAGCTACCTCCTAGCGAAGACTCATAGGTGTCTTGGGGACTATGTGATGTCACGTTAATCGTGAGCATGATTTTGTGCTACTTGTATTATGCTTTTAATGTTAGCCATCTAGAGTTGCCACAGTGAGAAGGGCGGGGGGCAATCGGAATTGAATTAATAACTAAAAGCAAATATTTGGACAAGGACATCAAGGCACAACCCAGAGTTCTCACTCAGGGCACAAAGGACCAGGCTCAAATGATCCTACTTCGGACACGTTATGGGAAGACCCAGCTCTCTGGAGAAGGCTGTGATGCTGGGAAAGGTGGAAGGAAAGAGAAGAGGATGGCCAGCAGCAAGGGGGATGGACTCGGTTACAGTGGAGATGGGGGCACCATTGGAAGAGCTGAAGGTTGAAGACAGATCCTCTTGGAGAAATCTATCTATGTGGTCGCTGTGAGTCAACACCAACTTGATGGCATGTAATCAATCAATGTCATGTGGACAAGGATGACATAAAATTGAGATTAGGGCGCATATGATACCATTCACACAAATACCAATAGAAGCGAATATAAACTGGCAGGACATGCAACAATATATAAACAGAGAGCAAACCCCATTCCATTCCAGCACTGAAAATGTTACCTACCTGGGTAATGAAACGTTTGCAAGAAAACCACCAAGCTCAGAGAACCCCAAGGACGCCACAGTTCACACAATTACATCATGGCACAGTGGAGTTTCCCATGCCCTGGTCATCTATTAGTATTAATGTTTTGGATTTTAACTGAAATTTTTTGTGCGATCTTCTGATCCATTGTACACTGCCTGGAGTCGCAGTCTTGGAGTTGGGTAGCCATATACATTCTTTTGATAATTAAATGTTACTTTCAGACCAACTTCATGGCCGCACAAGACTCTTGGCAGCTGTCACCCAGTTTGGTAGGAAACCTTCTGGCATCAAAGTGGGACAGAAATGGCAATTCAGAAACATAAACCAAAGGAACGATGAAAACAAGAGACGCGCAAAAGCCGAGCCTTCTCAAAACTCCTCGATGGCATCTTAGTCACGCATGGATAAAACTGTCTGCTGAAGATGGATGTTTATTTTCAAGAAAACTCCACGAAATATACAAGAGCGGCAACTGCCTTGAATGCCAGCCGTAAATTGTTATGCTGAGTTATGAAGACGTTTTAAAGGGCCGAGAACCCTATTATATTCTCATTAGTCGCAATTTTTTCCCAATCGTCACACCCTGCCCCTCTCAGGGTTTTGCACAGAACCCTGACTGGTTATTTCTTCTTTACAAAAAAGGTCCACTCTCTTTCTAGGGCCGCACCACTCTTGGCGACTCCCTGGTCAAAGCTGAATATTTTCTTCAGCATGACAAAAGGACGTGGAGTCCACAGCAAAATACGATGGTGCCAGAATGATGCTGCACGTGGGGAACTATGCAGCAAGTATGTATTTGCACACCAACATCTAATGTGGCCACCTGTGGAGGTCTCAGAAAATAAAGTTGTTTTCGTCAGGAGCTAAACAAACCAACAAGCAGAGTCCTTGGCGCCTCTGAGCTGGGTGGTTTGCTTGCAGACGTTTCATTACCCAACTAGGTAACATCATCAGTGCTATTGAGTGTGGGGTTTGCTTCCTGTTTATCTACAGTAGCTTGCCCTGCCAGTGGGGGTGGGGGTGTAGTTTTCTCCTTGATAGTTCTGGATACCAAATTGTATATAACACACTGAATATACACATACTGTATATAAACAGGGAGCAAACCCCACACACATTCACACTGATGATGTTCCCTAGTCAGGTAATTAAGTGTCTGCAAGCAAACCACCCAGCTCAGAGAGCCCCAAGGACTCCACAGTTCAGCCCTGAGCTACAGAGATTCTCTTCTATTGAAACCAACAAGCTGCAAATCTTTACCCCCTCCTGGTCTGGGGACATTTGTAAAGAACCCAAAAGAGGAAGAAAGCAGGTTGCTTTGTCCCACCTACACACCCACAACTGCACCAAACAATTTGCTCCCCCTTTCTCTGACCCATCTGAGTTCAACAAGGCACATCCAAGTGCTCCAGAAACCTGGAACAAATCGTACACTGGTTTTGATTGTGTAAGCCATCTTCTCAGGTTGGAGGGGGCACATCTCAGCGATGCCTCGAGCTCTCTGGAGTGGTGGCCGCTGGGAGATTCCATCGTGCCTCGTGGTTGCCAGACAACAACATCCCAAGGACCAGAACATGCATCCTTTGGGATCTCATCTGTGTTCAATATCTTTGGGGAAGCAGAAGGCCCTGCTGATGAAGGATTGACAATGTTTTCATGGCTTTGCTTGCAACTCACAGCAATCATCTTGGGATGACCTAAACCATGTTTGGGGCCTGCAAAAACCCAAAGGACAAATTTGCCCCTTTTCTCTGTACCCAGGGAGTTGCATATTCTCCTAAGCTATGGTTTTCTTAGCCATGATTGGTAGAAAAGATTTATAGAAAAAATCACAGCAGTATTATGAGTCACCCCAAACCAAAACAGAACCCTATCTCAGCGTGTCTGCAGAGCCATCGACTCCAACCCAGGCTGGCCCAACCAGTTAGATCAAACAGGGAGAAACCATTATAGATTCCACATTTTTAGGAGGTTTTGGGGGGCTGAAATGAGATGGTGCTGCTTTTTGGTGGCCTCTGGGGAGAGATCAGGCGAGCTCCCTTCCAGTTCATGTTCCAGAAGTTATTCAAGGTGGAGCCATTTGAGAGATCCTTCCCTGATTTCACCTTGCCATATTTTAATTTCTGCTTTTATTGTTTGTATTCTTAATACCTGGTGGGTGCTGTTTTTGTTATTTTTATGGAAGATTGCACCACAGAGGCTTTGACTGTTATTTTCTCTTCTACATAAGGCACCGAGAGCATTTGGCTGCGGCCAATGAAAATGTGAAAAATAAATAAACCAAACGTGATTGCAAGCCATAATGCAGGGATTTACACAAAACTAAACGATCGACCAGAAATAAGAAATGTGGGTTCGCTCAAAGGTCACACCAGGTTTTGTATGGCATTTTGAGGTCGACATGGAAGAGGGAGGATGACTAAGATCTGTTTGGGGTGTGAATGGGTGAAATCAACAGACGCATGGTGGGGAATACATCGTATTTGTTTTTAAATAAAGCAAAGGCCTTTTTTCCCCAAATTAATTAATTATTTATCAAATTTATGTCCATCGATCCAATGCAACTCTGGGCAGTGAACAAAATAAAAAATATAATCAATATAACACACACACACACCCAAAGAAACTAAGAAGACCTGTTTTGGGGTTCCTGTGGGTGGCAGTCTTTGGGGGCAGGAGAACAACCCATCTTCCTAGGGCTTAGCTCTCCAGGCTCTGAACCCCATAAGGCTTGAAAGGTGACAACCCATCCCTTGAACTGCAGCCAGAAGCCAACCGGTGTAGCTCTGAGTGCTGTTGCCTGGGGCCCTTAAGGTGGAGCCATAATGACTTGATCTGGACCACCTTCTGGACCAGCTATGGCTTCCAAACGCTCTTCAAGGGTAGCCCCATGTAGAGTGCCTGTGGTAGTCCTACCGAGACATGGTGAAGGCAAGAGTGACCGTGTGAAGGGCCTCCCATTCTGAAGAAGGTTGCAGTTGGGTGCACGTATTGGAGCTGTGCAAAGGCCTTCCTGCTCCATAAGCAGGAGCTGAGTCCAAGAGGACCCCAAGTTGCAAACCACTCTGCTCAGGGAAGTGCAACCCCATTCAGATGGTACCTCCCTGGAATCAGCAGGCATTTGAACCCAGAGCCACTCTGTCTTGCTGAGGTCAAATCTCAGCCTGTTCCTCCCCATCCAGACCCAGATAGCTTCCAGGAACCGGGACAGCCCCTTAATGGTTCAGCCTTGGAGTCCAAATGTAAGTTTGGGTATTGTCAGTGTAGTGATGAAACCTGAAGCCAAAAATGGCCATTCTGGTCCCTGTACTTAATCTGTTATCTCGCACAAACTCCCATTATCTGTTTTACTTTTCTTCCCCCAGGCAAATAAGCTGAGGACCAAAACTTTGCGGAACACATTGAATCCCACTTGGAACGAAACCCTCACGTACTACGGGATCACCGATGAAGACATGATCCGCAAAACGCTCAGGTGAGTCAGAGCCATGTTCATCTTGAGCTTCTGTTGGCTGAGTCTGGATTGTGAAGTGTTTAAATCTCCCTTTGATGGAATACAGGTAGTCCTCGCTTAACCACCGTTCGTTTAGCGACCGTTCAAAGTTATGGTGGTGCTAAAAAAAGTGATTTATGACCGGTGCCCAAAGTTATGACCTTTGCAGCGTCCCTGCAGTTACATGATCACAATCCGGGCCCTTGACAACCAGCTCGCACTTAGGATGGTTGCCGTGCCCCAGGATCATGTGATTGCCATTTGCAACCTTCCCAGCCAGCTTCCGGCAAGCAAAATCAAAGGGGAAACTGTGTGATTCATTCAACAACCATCACAAAAAAGATCGTAAAATCAGATCTGGTCGCATGATGATTCGCTTAGCGACCACCCCACTTAACAACAAATTTTCCGGTCCCTACTGTGGTTGTTAAGCAAAGACTACCTGTATTTCACAACCAGCCAGCAGGGACTTTGTCTACTAGCTAACCATTTTCTAAAGCACAAAATATATTTTCTGGACCACGACTGAGCTTATAACTGATTGATCTTCTCTCACTTTTCCTCTCCCCAGACAATTACTTTACATATTTTTCTCTGCCCTTTCTCATCTTGGTAGATTTTCAGCTTTAGCAATAATAAAATTGTCTTACCTGAAAAGATGCTGGGACAATTCGCAGTTCCAGTTGTTGAAAATGCAAATGAGTCATCCAATTTTGATTAGCTTTTAACTCTGGAATATCCTACTCTGGCTATTTGAAGGATGATGGCTGGATGCTATCGAACAGTCAGCAACCGGATTTTAATTTCCCTGGGATTTTCATTTTTACATATTTCTTCTTTGTATTTTTATTAGGCACTTTTAAGAAAGTATGTAAATGCTTTAAAAAGAGAATGAATGTAGAAATGTCATGGAAGTTATCGCTTGCTAATATAGCAGTACTTAGTCGTAAATAATGGAGTATATTATATGCCTTATCGCTTTAAAAGACGAAGAATTACAGGTGGGTCGCAATTAGTGCATGTTCGAATAATGTGATATTCGATTTAGTGCAAATTGTAAGTTGATACCGGGTGGTGTTTAATGTGACCCAAAATACAGTTAGCGCGAGACTAACGCGCGTGCAGTTGTGGCTGGGGATTAATCTTCATCTGTGCAAAATGGCAAAAAGGAAAACTCCATCCGAGGAAAACTACAAGTTTTAAGAAAGATGTTTTCGTCAGTGTAAGCGTCGCTTTGGCAACGACATTCAGAAGTGTGTTGGTTTCGTTTTGCTTTCTCTAACTCCTCTGTGACTGCGTGAACCATACATTTAAATTACAAGTCTATGCTTTTATCCAGTACTGTAATATTTCATTAATATGCGTATAAACATTTATGTTTAAACTTCTTCATTGCCTATTTCCGTTGCGTTGGAACCCACTACCCTATTTTCCATAGAAATATCACTTTGAATAGTGCGAATTCGAATCACGCAGCCATTTTGTGGGATTCATTGACTGCACTAATCAAGACCTACCTGGAATGGGAGATGGTACCTCCCTGTACTACCTGTACAGGTACACATACTGGTACTAGCACTTCAGCTTGAAGCTAAAACTGAACTTCAAGAACCATGGTCAACTTTTGTTAAAATTTAACAACCCCCCTCCCCAAATCACTGCATGCACAAAGTTAGCACTGCAGGGCCATGCTAAGCCTCATGATGTGGTAGAGACAGAAAACTTAGAGGAAGATTTTGCAGAAAAGCTATGTAATCACGATGCCACACCCACCATCTTCTAGATCACTGTTTCTCAACCTCCGCAACTTTAAGATGGGTGGACTTCAACTCCCAGAATGCCCCAGCCAGCATGCTTTAAGATGGGTGGACTTCAACTCCCAGAATGCCCCAGCCAGCATGCTTTAAGATGGGTGGACGCCAACTCCCAGAATAGCTGGCTGGGGCATTCTGGGAGTTGAAGTCCACCCATCTTAAAGTTGCTGAGGTTGAGAAACCCTGATCTAGATTTTGAGACTCCACCTGCGGAAACCTTTGCTTTAAGGTCCCATCCTGTCTCCCTTCAGGAGGCCCTTAATTCGTTCTGGGTCTTCTCACCCCAACCCCCAACTTGCCCGAGACCTTATTTCTCAGCAGCAAATCAGGACAGGGTTTGGCGTTATCCCAGGTCATCATTTTTCCACGCTTTCTGCTCTCCAATAAATCCCCCTGACAGCTGCTGGATAGATGAGGCTCCAGGAAGGAGCGTGAGCGTGTGGGATCTCCCTTCCGAGCACTTTATCACCTGTAGAAGTTCACGGGGGCTGCAGAGCACAAGGCACCGGACGAAAGACGCAGGCAAGGAGGTTGGGGGAGCGTGCAGAGCATGGCAGAAAGGAGTCACAGGTCCGTGCTTGGGCTGCATTTTAGAAAGCGAGAAAAAGTGAGATGAAGATGTTGAAATGCTTGCCAGAAATGGCTTTCTACAAGCAGTCTCCTGTGTGCAGCTGAAGCAGACTGGAAAAGCATTTCTCCCGTCGGATGAACTTCGTTTTATTTTGCCACGTTAGCGAAGCCCTCCACATCGAGTCCCTTGCTGCCAATGGGTGCCTTAAAAAAACAGAAGGGAACCTCCAAAGGTGTTGGACTTCAGAGCCCAGAATCCTTTGCCAGCACTGCCGGTATTTCTGGAAGCAGGGGCGTCCACAAGGTGTGGCAAAAAAGTAAAGATGGCGGCCATGATGGTGCAATGGAAGCTCCACCTGTTTTTCATGTGCAAGGCATGGGCGATGCACATAAAATGAGGCAGAACTTAGATTGCATTGTGCAGCCCCTATTCTTGACTTTTTTGACCACACTTTGCAGACACCCCTGGGGTCTAGAAGATACCAGATTGGGGAAAATTCATCTATTATGGTGAAAAATTGGAAGAATGAGTGCTTCGTACCTGCCTTGCTCCCCTGCAGGAAAGGGAGAATACAAATCTAATAAAAATATTAAAATATGTACCAATATTTTCCCAGAATGCAGTGCATGCCACTCACAATGGGAGGTCAGATAAATTCCACCTTCAACAGACTGCCATAACTTGCTGCCCCCCCGAGGTGTGGGACTGCAACTCCCATCATCCTCAGCCAGCAGCAGTTTGAGAAAGGCTGCCTTACAGTTCCCATTTAATTCTCCTTGATTTTCTTTTCCTTTGAAAACACTGGCTGTCGGTGCAATAAATGTTGAGGACTAGAAACTTTTGGAGGCACATTTGCAAGACTGCCCAGAATGTGATGTGAATCAACAAGCCATCTCAGGTCCTCATAACTCCTGAAACTTTGTCTTCATTCAGAAGGAATATTCATCCTATCAAATTTTGCAATCAGCTGTTAGATGACAACACTTCTGAAGCTGCTATCTCCCAGGCTGTCGCTGCTTAATTGTTTTTTTTTTAAAGCTCCCAATTCTTTTACCGATGAAATTTGGTTTAAGAGCAAGTTGCAATTTTTCCAACACGACAGTGGTTTGAATGCAAGGGAGACCTGGAGTGCATAGTCTTGAAATCGGAAGCCAAATTCTAACACGGTGTCTTAAAGATAAGTTACAATCCTTCCTTTGAAAGGGATCTTTCAAAAAGGCAAAAAGGCTTAGGGCCCCCAAAAGCCAGCATACAGACTCACACAAAGACACACAGTGCTTCCAGGAGTCTGGTGGCTTGCAAAATTATGTGCAGCAAGAGAACCAGAAGAGGAAAGCCATGCTCCCCCCCCTTGTTCTCTGTAGCCTCAAGTGTCGTTCTGCCCCAGCGCCTGGTCTTGGCAGAACCTGGGAAGTTTGACATCCATCTAGGCCAGTGTTTTTCAGCCTTGGCAACTTTAAGATGGATGGACTTCAACTCCCAGAATCCCCCCACCAGCATTCCCCTGGGTGGTTGGGGAATTCTGGGAGTTGAAGTCCACCCATCTTAAAGTTGCCAAGGCTGAAAAACACTGATCTAGCCTTATCGTCTGCCACAGCCCCTTGATCCGCTTGGCATTTTGACAGCCTTAGGGCAAAGTGTTCGGGCCTCAGGAGTATGGTGAAAGCAGAGTCCTTGGGTTATGACCGCAATTGTGATGCGCTAAGTGATGCGGTTGTAAAGCATGATGTCACATGACCACATTTCTTAGCGACAGCAATCCCAGCAGTCCCAGTTGCCGCTGTAACCTCAAGACACGTGGGTCATTAAGCGGGAAGGGGTGGGAGTCCCAGGTAAGGAGGCCTGGTGCAGGCCGCGCATGGGCACAGGAAGGCCGCAGGGGTGGATGGCGAGTGCAAGTGTATGAAGGCTGGGGGGACTTACTAGAGTGACTTGCCACCTTCCCTGCTGGCTTCCCCATTGACTTTGCTTGTGGGAAGCCAGCCGGAAAGGTCGCAAATGGCGATCACGTGACCGTGGGACACTGCAACCGTTGTAAGTGTGAGCTGGTTGCTGAGCATCTGAATCATGATCACGTGACCATGGGGGCACTGCGATGGCCAGAATTTCAAGGACCGGGTCATAAGTACCACTCGTTCGGCGCCATTGCAACTTTGAATGGTCGCTACATGAGTGGTCGGTTAGTGAGGACTACCCGTACTGCTGTTGGCATCAGAGTCGTGCCTGGTGAATGTTCAGTGTGTGAACAGGGAAGGCTTCAAGGTTTACAGTAATTGGGGCTCCAGCAGAGTTCGCCGTTCCTGTCTTCACGGTAGTTCTTTAAGGCCTGGGCATCAGCCACGGAACAAGCAATATGGAACCCGCTAATCCAGGGTTCCCCAAAGTGGTCAGTATTGACTCCCAAGGGTCAAAGGGCCTATCCACCTGATCGATAAATGGCTGGGGGTCAAAAGGGAGTCAGTAAATGGCTGGGGGCAACTGGTGGATGATAAATAATGGAAGATCAATTGGGATCAATTCATCTTTTGGGGTCCCTAGTCCGGAAGGTGCAGTGGCTCGCAGCAAGACAGCGTGACCCAGGGTTGGATGGTCGGACA